GCTTGTAACATAATATTTACTTTCTGAAATAAATAGTTGCCTAAGTTCATTTAGTTGCTACCTGGTGGATTACCAACTGGTGCTCAGCTTGTTGCACCCAGCTGCGCTAGAGTGGTGCCCGGTATGGGAGGGCCAGCTGAGGAGCTTGCCAGCAGTAGAAGAACCAAGCTGGAGAGGCTGTGGGGAGGCTGTTAGGCAAGCTGTTTGGAGAAGAGGAGAAGATGTTGGTTCTCTTGTGCTAGTGTACCGGGGACCTTGGCTGCTGGATTTCCAGGTGAATGTGGCTGCTTGCATCGGATGAGGAGCTCAGGAACTTGTTGTCACCAGGGATTGCTGTGGTACTTTTCAGGAGAACTCAGGTCCTTACTTTGAGCATAGCTTTCTGGCTCCAGTTCAGATCCCTCAGCCTGCTAGCACAAATCCTTTATTCTGCTGACACACTTTCTAGCTCCTACCTCTGACCTGTGGGCCTTCGCAGTGCAGGTCCACAAAGCAGGCCTGCATGAGGCATTGCCATGGACTGTGGCATCTAGGTGGACCCGGGGGAGGGCCTGTGATGAGTTCTAGGTCTTCAGCTGGACTCATGCCAGACATTACTGTGGGATCCAGGCCCTTAGCTGGATTCTTTGGTCTTTAGTGTGTAGACAGATGTCCTACCCTCTTTGTATATGATTCTTTGAGTGATTCATTATAAAATAATCTTACAAAGTGTGTTCTATATTGTATAGTTCTCTGGAAAAACCTCAAACCGTGACACACTCCTTGAAGTAATGATCTGCAAACCATCAGTTTTACATAATTGCATTGATGAGTAATTTGCTGGTTAAATGACCATCATTCTAGAGAATACAGAACTTCTAATTGCTAATATAAAAGCACACACACACACACATGCGCTCATGCAAACACAAATTATGTCTTTATTTTGGTTGTAATACATAAATGTCTAAAGCTTACTAACCAGAAAAATTAAAGTTAAAATGTCCTTTAAAGACTTTCGTGAAGTGGTTTGCCAATTAACCCTCAACAATCTAATTCTGAAAAGATAAAATTAATCTCACTGACTTTCATTAAAACCAAGAATGGTAAAATTTGAAATAAAAGCAACCCAATACAATGCTGATAAAGTCCGTTGTTTGCTTCACTTCTCCTGAAAAGTGGAGAATTGCAAGCCCTGGGCAGATTTTCATGCATGGTATGACCATGGCCATTTACTAGTGCATTCCTCAAGAAATCTGCTTTTGAATATAATTAACCTTAATGTTTGGTCACTTCTATATCTAGGGATTCACATAAAGGGTCATTTTTGTCGCCGTTGTGAATGCTCCCATTGCTCTTGTCTCATTTGAAGATATAGATAGATCGATGAGGTGAACGTGCAGTCTCACAACTCGGGTGAGCCAAGGTGCCTCCTCTTGATTATGTAGGCTCTCAACCTGTAAATAGGTATCACTTTCAGAGTCTACTTAATGTTACAATTTTAGATTTTTATGCTTTTAATTAGAGATTTTTCTATTTAATAAAATAGCCACAATTACACTTCTGAGGTGTTTTTAACTTCCCTACCCACGAGAAAAATATAGCACGACTATGTGGAGGAAGCATATGTACTAGATAAACTCCATTCAGATATTTTTGTAGTGCTGTTCATTCTACATCATTATTCACAAGTTAATGCCATGCACCATTCAGAGAAAGACCAGGACATTCTCTGGTCTGTTTGTGAGTTGTTTGTTTTAAAGTAACACTGAGAGTGTGCAATGAACCTATGGAAAAAATTTAAAGTGGTAAAATTTATTAACTCAGGAGTGGATTTTGATGAAAAATAAACCTCTCCTTTAATTTGTGTTGTTTATTTTATTGCAGGAACAAGAAAGAAAATAACCAACAAAACACACGGTGGGCTGGGGTATCATAAGGCTAAAAAGCAAGAACAAATCAATGGATAGTGTTTCCAAGATTAACAAAACATAAGATAAAGGTAACTATTATCCTGGAATGCCCCACACCATTAATTATTTGTAAGAAATATGCATTCTTTTTTAGTTTTTTAAATTTTATGTTTTTGTACAGGGTCTCACTGTGCAGCTCAGACTTGCAGTGGTCCTCCTGCTTCAGCCTCCCGAGAGCTGGTATTGCAGGTGTGTGCCCCCACGCCTGGTCTCGCTGGCCTGCTCTGTATGCCCGGGGCAGGGTTGGCACCTTAAGTGCTACTGGGCATTGAAGCTGGGTCCTTGCACTTGCCTAGGAAGGTGCTCAGACTGCTGAGCTATCTCTGCAGACCAGGAACATGTGCTCTCATGTTTTATTCTTAATAACTTATAAATAAAACATTTATTGAACATCTAATACAAATATTGATAATATGAGTTTAACTGTATATTTCATACAGTATTTGGTTAAATATATATTTCTATTGATGTTTATCTCACTAGTACAAAACTAACCACAATTAATTTTAAATTGAATATAATTCTGAGACATGAAATACCTATTATGATTATTTGAGGATATATTCTTATGCTCAACAAAAACTATTCTACTCCATACTCTTATTTATTCATACACAGAATTAATATTTTCCTTCTATTTTAATGGTCTTTTGTTTAGCCAATTATCTTTTCAAATTATTTACTTAATTACAAACTGAGTGTTTATTTCATAAAACTTCATTTTTCTAAGAAATTGATAGGTTACTGCTTCATTCAAGAGCTTAAGTTTTATATATA